ATTTCCAACTGCTCCCCTCTGAGTCCCCTCTGGCTCTATCTTCCTGGGGTGTCCCCTAGGCTCCCCCTTGCCCTGGCCACTGGTGCTCCTTTCTGTGAATCTTCTGATTCACTGGAAAGACTCGGAGATCTCGGGTCGTCGTCATCACTCATCTTTTCTTCTGCCTCCTCCCCCTCGCTCTCTGTTTCCTCCCTTGCCCTTGCCTCTGCTCCTGAACCCCTGACACCAGCAAATCCTTCTAACCTTCTTTTCTTTTACTTATTTTAACATTCAAAAGTATATAATTCTCCTCTATCCTCATTTTACACTTCATGTTTACTTATTCCATTATACCCTGTCCCGAGGTACCACTGTAAAGGAAAAAACCAATGGATGTACTCTTCCAAAATACCAGATAAAAAACAAATAAAATAAAACCTACATACAGTAAGTGTTTTGTGTTGTGTAGGTTCCTATTTGTTATGTGCAAATGGCTTTAGATACCTATTAGGTCCATAAATTACCATATAGCATATATTCAACACAAAACACAGTGACAATTTGTTGTTGACAAAGGATAGCTGGACATATAAAGGGCCCGTTACCTTCAGTAGCTTAGGGTCTCATCAAACCTAAATCCGGCCCTGATGCAAAGCACCTGCTTCTGTCACCAATAGCTAAACCCCGCCCCAGCTATTTCTACGGGTGCAGAGCTTGGACCGCAACCTGAATTACTATAAGCGTGGCAACTTCAGTGGCAAATACTAGGCTTCTAATTCCAAGGCCAACGCCTCCCAACCCAGAGCCTTTCCCCCTCCCTTCTTTGATTTTCCCCCACCGTTGAGCCTCGCCCACTTTCCTTCCCTCCCCTTCGCGCGCGCCGCTGTCGCTGCGGCCTCCCATTCTTATTTGGAGAAACTCCCCCTGATTGGCCGAACATACGGCTCTCTCCAAATTTGCATTCCACGTCGGTGGAAATTTCCGTCTCCCGATTTATATATTTATTTATTTATTCCGCGGCCGGAGCCAATGGGAGCCCCTCCGCTCGCTCCGGCGCTTTTCCGACCAATGAAAGGCGAGAATTCTCGCTGTTGTGGCACGTGAGGGCCGCGCACGTGGACTCGTTATGTAAAAGGCGGGGCAAAGAACTCGCGAGGCCCTCCCCCCCGCCGCGCGTGCGGGACGGCGCGCACGCGCGTTGCGGGGGGCGGAGGGGGCAGGCAGGAGGAGGAGGAGGAGCGGCGGCGACGACGACGACGACGACGGTATTAGCAGCGGTAGCGAAGGACAACGGCGGCACCGACGGCCGAGACTGCCTCAGGCGCACTTCAGCGGGCGAAGATGAAGCAGCAGCAGCCGGTAACGTCGGCGGCGAACGCGAGCGCCGCCACCGCAGTCCCGGCCTTCCTCAGCAAGCTCTGGGCGCTGGTGGGCGACGCGCCGAGCAACCAGCTCATCACCTGGAGCCAGGTAGGCGCTGAGGAGGAGGAGGATGGGGGCGAGGGGAGCGGGATGAAGCGAGGCCTCCTCGCTCGGTAGGCGACGCGGCGCGGAGGGAGGCGGGAATGAGGGAGGGGATCGGTCTCCCCGCCATCTCCCGTCACCGTTTCATGGATGGCGCGCGCCTTCCTTCCTTCCCAGCCTTTTTCTCTCCGTCTCCCCTCAGCCGCCCATCTTCGCGTCTGTTTTGCGTCTTGGGCCTTCGTTCGGACAAAAGGCCGGGGGGGGGGGAGAGAGAGAGAAGGGAAGGGGGCGTGGTCAGGTGTTGGTCACGCTTTCTGTTTTCCTGACGGGCATGGGGGGGCAGGGGCTTCACGCGGCCTACCCGCGAAGGGCCCCGTGAGGCCCGAGGCGCACTCGGGTTCGCCGTGAGGGCGCCTTCGTCCGAGGGAGCGGGGGAGAAAAGGAGGCCTCGGCAGCCGTGTATGCACACCATACGGTAATCTGAAGGCCGCGCTTCGGTTTCCGCAACATGGAACCCCCCCCCCCCAATCTACCGAAGGGCTGCGAAACAAGTTCCAGGGGAAGGGAGGCGACAGACAGCCAAATATAAAGGGGAGGAGAATGTGCCGCGCGACCCTTCCCAAACGTGGCTTTGACGTAGGCACGTGTGGATCAGTGCATATCTACCCGCTTCCTTAACACGGAGGTGGTTCGCATGTAGGAGAAACGCCTTGTATGGAAACAGTCCGCAACCAGAGGGTGAGGGGTGTTTCTGCGTGTGGCGTACACACAAACAAAGGCACGAGTTAAGAGGACTTGAGGACATTAGGTCGTGAGCATCTTACTGACTGTGTTAAGATATGGTTTGGGGGAGTCCCTGGTTCATGCATTATTATTTTCTCCTTAGGCATGAACTTGGTCAGTGGTTCTCGGTGAACCATTACAGTATTATCTTGCCTATTACCTCCACAACATGGGGCCTTACAAAACTGTTAAGCAGGAGTGGCAGAACTGCCCTTACAGGTACTGGCTCAGCCTCTTATGCACTAACACACGTATCTGCCATTTTATTGACTTCCAATAGTTCATTAATTTTGGGAAGGAAACATAAATACACATAAAGTGTTGGAGTCAGTAGAGAGGTTTAGACCTGTTTGTAGCTCCAGGAGATCAGCAAGGGCTGAAGGTGGTTCTCAAGTCAAAAAAGGTTACTCACTTCTCTTGTAAACAGAGGTAGCCATGTTGGTCTGTTTTAGTCAAAACAGCTGTCTTGTGTATTGCGATGTGGATCATTTTGAATGCACTAACGTGCTAAATAATCACTATAGTTTCTTGTCCTAGGTTTGATTCTAGTAGTGCTCCCCTGTAAGTAGGCTTACATGGAGAAGAGGAGGTGGCAGCTCAGTAGCTCCGTAGACCATATTGGGCTACAGTTTGTTAGATTACTGCTTCTCTGTTTTGCCCAAAATAGACAAATTCCAAGAATTATGGAAGGAGTTACACCTGTATGAATAAAACCTTATGGTGAGAAGCAAAGAACTGAGATTGTTATGAACAAATTGATGAATGTTGAGTACACTCTTTCTGTAACAGTGTAGAAGAGGTCCTCTTTCATTAGCATCACAATTGTCTGGGAGCTTGTACAAATTGGAACAGCAGGGTAGGAAAGCTTTGGTGATCAATTTTCAGACAGTCTTTGTATGCCTAAGGCAAACAATGTCCAGATCTCAGGAGGCATTCATCTTTTGCATAGTTTTTGTGTCACATTCCCTATCCTGCTAACAGTGACACTTTATTTTTAGCATATGAAGTTTTAGGTACGTAATTCTTTTGTTTGATTCCAGGCTTAGGAACTATTTGGTAGGTAAAAATAGGCTATTTAATCATCTTAATATAAGCAGTAAGATTTACACTGCATTCCTATTACTCATTTGCAGTCCATTTTGTATGTACATGCATCCATTTCAGGTCTCTTTAAGAGGAAGGACACTTTCTATTCAGGATACAGTTGCAGGAATTTGTGCAGTCATGTACACCAGTTTGGCAAAGAAACAAAAGCCAGGGTGTTATGGGTAGATGAAGGGGCAAACAATATAGAAAGGGCATTGGTGGCAGCAAAGGTTAAGAGCTCTGCCTGAGTGCTTGTCCAGGAAATCTCTCTTCATCTTCCCTTGCAGCATTTCTATGGAAAGCTGCAGATGTGGTGACTTAGTCAAGTCTTCATCCAGGTAATTGAAAACATCCAATCTCTCCTAAAGACCTTTCAGGAAGTAGTACTATCAAGAATGCTACCAAAGCGCTTGACAACAGGGAAGCAGTAGATAACAGACCAAGGACAGTGGTGTAGTCACTGGTGCCACCAGTTGGAAACCCAGAATTTGCAGGGGACAAGCAGAACAGGCCAAATCTTGCAGTTAATTTTGTAAACAAGAATTTTAAAAAAGACCAGCACCACCAATAATGTACGCACTGCACATGTGCTCTGATGTGCACATGAAACTTTTGTTCAAGTAGACTTTTTCACGGAGAGACAAGTTGGAAGAATGAGTCTTTTGGGCCGCTCCCTTTTGTGACCAGAGTATTTGAATATTTTCTCAACCAAGAATTCTCATCTTTGTAACTTTCCAATTACTGAGCAACATGCATACCATACTAATAGGGAATATGGTCTGCCTCCTTCATGTTTTATCTGAGTAACCTTGAGGAGTTGTGGAAATATGTTTGTGTTTTGTCTCAGTTTTTATGTAAGAATAAATAATCTGAAATATTCTAAGCTCAGCCATGATAAGAATGAATATTACTTGGGTATGCATGTATGCAGCAGAATCATTCTGCAGTTGATTCTCATTTATCTGTTTCATTTTTAATTACCCCCTTCTTCCTGATTTACCTGATCTTGCTGCACTCTGTACATTGTTTCAGTATGCACAAAGATTAGCATAAAAATAGTGAGGAGCAAGAGGCAATAGGTGATTCCTAACTTGTATGAATGGAGTTGCATTATAAGTGGTCCATGTTTCACAAGCATACAGTAAGGTTGGTAGTACAATAGCTTTGTGAACAAGCATTTTGGTTTCCCTGCGAATGTACCAGTCCACAAACACACTGCGCTTCAATCGTGAGAAAGCTGCACTCGCAGAGCTCAAAGGTTGTTGGATTTCGGCATCAATGTCAGCCCAGGTGGGAGAAGTGATTGACACTTTCCAGCATTACACCACTGAGTTGGATTTGTAGCGCTGCAGAGGTGTCGTTTTTCTGCTCGTTGGTACAGCGCTTTGGTTTTTTGGATGTTGAGCGATAGGCCTCGCTTTTTATAAGCTTATGTGAAGATATTTAGGATGGTTTGGAGGTCATCCTCTTGAGTGTGTATGCGCTATGTTGTCATCAGTATGCTGAAGCTTTATGGCAGAAGTTATGGTAACCTTACTCTTTGCTTTCAGCCTACTCAAAGAGCTTTCCATCTGTTCGATATGATTTCTATTCTGGTGGGGAGTTTCCCTTCAACAAAGGGTAGGGTCATGGCAATGAAAATAATAAATAGAGAGTTGGGGTGATAACACAACCCTGTTGAACACCTGATCTCACTGTGAACGGTTCACTTTGAGAGCAATTATCTGCAATTGTTGCTGTCATATTATCATGGAAGAGCCAAAAGATGTTCACAAATTCATCTGGGCAGTCGATTTTAAGGAGGACAGTCCACAGGGCATTACGATTTACAGTGTCGAAGGCCTTAGTCAGGTCAGTAAATGCCATATACAGGGGTTAGTTTTGATCTTAGCATTTTTCTGGAAGCTGTCGAGCTGTGAAAATCATGTACACTGTCCCCCTAGAAGGTTGAAAACCATTTTGGGATTCAGGAGGAGTAGCCTCGGATATTGTTCAGAGACAGTTTGCTAAGATCCTTGCAAGAATTTTGCAGGCTGCAGCTAATAAAGAGATGCTTTGATAGTTTCCGTAATCCGTTCTATCACCTTTTTTAAAGAGATTGATAATTTTGGCATCCCTAAAGTCTGCTGGGATCTCTCTCCCAAATTTTTTCGATGAGCTAGTGAAGTTGTTGTGTAAGTTTAGCTCCGCCCACTTTGAAGACTTCAGCAGGTATCCCATCACATCCGCTGGCTTTGTTGTTTTTCATTTGGTTAATGATAGTCTATGCTTAAGAAACTGTTTTACATTTCTAACCACATTATTTAGGCATTGAATGTGATTGTGATCTTCATTGCAGAATGGACAGAGTTTCCTTGTGTTGGATGAACAAAGATTTGCCAAAGAGATTCTTCCAAAGTACTTCAAGCACAACAACATGGCAAGCTTTGTGAGACAGCTGAATATGTGTGAGTTTTATAACAATATGTAGTATTAACCTTTAGATATACTGGTCTACATTTAAAACATTGAACTCCATGGAATTCAGTTCTGAGATGGATTCTACCTTTTATTGTAATAACAGATTCTAACTATTCCTCAGTTTTAATCATTTATTGTACAAAACAGTATCGTAAGGCATTCAGCTGCAGTCACTGACTGGAATGCAAGGGGAAACAAGCAGAATGCATACTGCATATTGAGTGAATCAAAGAAATGTAGACTTGGAAGGGACCCAGAGGGTCATCTATGCAGGAATCTCAACTAGGAGGACAGCTGACGCTGAGAGAATTGATTCAAAGCAACGAGCCATCCTCATAGCTGCAGCCTGCAGCTTGGCTTTTGTGTGAACTTCAGTCATGTTTGACAACCAGTAATAATGGTTTTTATAAGTGTTTTGAGAGCATGTGTGGCAGCTTTATAAAAAAGAAATCCCATGATATTGATAGTATCTTCTTCCAGAAGGGACAGGTTTTGACATGACATGTAGCAGTATAAGTTCATCTCCTTATTTTAGGAAGGACACCCATCTTGTAACACAGCATAGCGTTGTGATGATTGAATGTGTATGTCATATTTTAAGTGGCACTTTAAAACTAGAACTCTTAGGTATAGCCTTTATAGTACTAATATATAAAGGCTGTGGTTGGCTTTGTTGTTCTACCTTCCGCTGCTCTTATGAGAACGGCCTTGTTATCCCAAGATAAAACCCAGGACTAATAAGGCTGGAAGGGAAACAAAATGGGACCCTGCATAGGTTGATAATGCACCTAGGGTTAGTCACACAGAAACTTGCACAAATGAAGGGCAGCTTGTAGCAGAATAGCTTTCACTAAAGGTAAAAGAAATGTGAATAGGCAGTGCTGCTACCTGCACAAAGACAGCAACATTTTTTTCTCAGCTGAATGAGGATTGTAGCCTTGATTATTCCAGTAGGCTTTTCCATAGTTGATTTATTCTTTTCAGATGGTTTCCGTAAGGTAGTCCATGTTGACTCTGGCATTGTCAAATTGGAAAGAGATGGCCCTGTTGAATTCCAGCACCCATACTTCAAGCAAGGACGGGAAGACTTACTGGAGCACATTAAAAGAAAGGTTAGTGAAAGGGAGTCTGGAAGCTTTGAACCTTCTGTAAGCACTGACGTAGATCCATGTGAGGGTTTGCCAGGATCTTACAGATAGTGTAAGTGGGAACAGAAATCTAGATTACAAAAAAGGAACAGTACAATTCTGTTTTACTGAGTACAAAGCAATGCACATGCCAACAAGACTGCCATGCAACGGTTCAAAACAACTGCATGCAAGCCTTCAGTCACATCAAGATCTAGAACTACAGATCAAGGATGGCTTACTGTAACCTAAAATATGCCTTCAACAAAGGGGGATGGCCAGTTCTCTGATCTAAAGGCAGAAGCAAGTCTTGGACCTATTTTGATCAGTATAAGGAAGCGCTTCACCAATGAAACAGAAATCCAGGGAGATGTTCAGAGTCTTATCTTCATTTGGCACAACTTGAACTATGTCAGAATTCACTTGCTTACCTTCCACACTTTTTCTCCTCCTTTTTTACAAACCCCACTTCTTCCATCCCTTATGCTTGCAAAAATTGTCATCTGACCTCATTGAATGTTTGCATTATTTATTTCTTCAGTTTCTAGTTATTTGCTATAATACCTGCATAAGGTAGCTTTGGAAAGCATCTGGGTGAAAAGGGAATTCTCTGTAAGAGATGGAACAAGGCCCTGACCATCCAGCTTGAATACCCCTCCCATTATTCTCTTGACCTTTCTGCCTTATAATAAACATACATACGTACATAGCACTTCCCTTTTTATTCTTTCTGAATTATTTGAATTCAGCATAGCCTTTGTTTATTTCGTTCATTTTCAGATAGCATATGATCCCTACATGATCTTGCAGATTCCATCCATGTGTACATTTTTGTTAATTGAAAGCAGAAGTACAAAGCTCTGCATGGATTCAGAGCAAAACCTTATTTATCAGTTAAATAGTCACTGTAATCCATATTTTTAAAAGTAACATGTTAACTGAAATTTGTGGTGATAATTCTTACAGGTTTCTTCTTCAAGGCCTGAAGAAAATAAAATTCGTCAGGAAGATCTGTCTAAAATCATAAGCAGTGCTCAGAAGGTTCAAAGTAAACAAGAGACTATTGAATCCAGGCTATCTGCTCTGAAGAGGTAAATAAGATTTCTAGCTTGATTTTTGAGGAGAAAGAGTATGAAAGACTACTAGTTCATCTAAAACTGTTTTTAGATTGCTGTAAGCTGCCCAGAGTGGCTGGGGGAACCCAGCCAGATGGGCGGGGTATTTACTATTACTATTATTATTATTATTATTATTATCATCACCATTATTATTTATATCATTACTGGTGGGTTTATGGCACCTTTAAGGAAACAGTTGTTTATTAAAGCTGGTATTCACCTGAGTGTTACTCTGAGTAGACGCATTGAAATTAATGGCCATGACTATGGGTCTTCCATTTCAATGGGTCTGTTCTGAGTAAGGCAACTGAGTACTCCCTGTAGTGCTGTCTTTGTGTATTTTGTATTACAAAGAAGAGGTGTGACAGGTCCCTGTTTCAAGGAATTCACAATCTAAAATAGGAGTGGGGGAATAAGCATGAATATGTGATTATTTTAATTATATATGTTTTGGCTTAGTTAACAATAAGGTATAATTACAGTTCCAAGTTTCACTAGGTCAGTTATTGGGATGCGGGTGTCGCTGTGGTTGAAACCACTGAGCTTCTTGAGCTTGCCGATTGGAAGGTCAGCAGTTCAAAAATGTGCGATGGGGTGAGCTCCCATTGCTCTGTCCTAGCTTCTGCCAACCTAACAGTTGGAAAGCACACCAGTGCAAGCAGATAAATAGGTACTGCTGCGGCGGGAAAGTAAACTGTGTTTCTGTGCACTCTGGCTTCTGTCACGGTGTCCTGTTGCAGCAGAAGTGGTTTAGTCATGGTGGCCACATGACCCAGAAAGCTTTCTGTGGACAAACACTGCCTCCTCAGCCTGAAGCGAGATGAGTGCCCCATAGTCACCTTTGACTGGACTTAACCGTCCAGGGGTCCTTTAACTTTTTACCTTTATCTGGGTCAGTTAGTAATCCTTATATTGACTGTAAACATTTTGAAACAGAGAAAATGAATCTCTTTGGCGGGAGGTAGCAGAACTGAGAGCAAAACATCTGCAGCAACAGCAAGTTATTCGAAAGGTAATTATGTAACTTCTTTCTTCATAAGAATAATTTAAAGTAATCTATAATTCAGAGCAAAATTGGAAGGGAAGCAGTAATTTGTGTTGGAAAGGGGCAGGGGTTTTAGTGGAAATTGGTAGCTTGAATGGTAGGTGACTTGCAATAATTCAATAAAGCTTGAAATTATCTTCTCGGAGATAACTTGGATAGTGGGTGGCAAAAAGCTCAGATGATCTGTTTAGGATATGGTAGCATGAAATGTAAAGGGCATTAATGATCTAATTTTGTTAAAATTGCATAACAAATGGTTAAGAGATTAAACGCAGGGATATACACAAAATATAAAACTTGCAGAAGTCCATGTTTTATATTTTGAATGCCTTTAAGTTCCATCTCATAATTTTTAAATTGTTTTTAGACAAATCTGATATCTAAAACATACAAAAATTAGGCTGTTTAGGGATTTGCACTATTATCTCTGCATTAGAATGACACCCAGACCTCTAAATCCTCTTGTTCTTAACTTTCCTATTAGGAAGGTGACTCTAAGCCTTTGATATTTCAGGCTTTAATTCTAGCCTACTTGACTCTGTATAGTACCATAAAAAATAAAATTGAACTATTGAGTTCAGTTGAACTTGCTCCTAATTGTATGTAGGATTTTTCTAAAGGCAACATTCTGTCTTTTTCTGCAGATTGTACAGTTCATTGTCACCCTTGTTCAGAATAATCAACTTGTGAGTTTGAAACGAAAACGGTAAGTATCAGGTTGACGATACTGGAATTGTAACACAGGTTTATTTTGTGGATATATAGTGTTTATAGAAGCATAAGTTTAAATCCTTGTGTTTTTTAAAAAACTTTTTTTCTTTTATGATTTAGCCCATTGCTTCTGAATACTAATGGGACACCGAAGTCCAACATATTCCAGCAGATAGTCAAAGAACCAGCAGAAAACAAACATCATGTGAGTTAATACTGAAATATACTTAAGGAAAGCATTAAAAAATGGGCAGAATCACTGCTTGGTTGGCCAGAGAAAATACAATATTCCCCATGAAAAAGAGTACAGTAATCATTATTCACATAGTCCTTGTGTTGGCTGTTCTCCTTTATATGGAGTGAAAATAGATCAGGCATATAGCAGTAAGGTACCAAGAATGCTGTTGACGGAAAGGGAGGGGCACCAAGTGATGCTTTTCCATAGCATTTACACCCAATACTGCATTGTCAGATTATTGTTTAGTTTTGATAAGCTAAATGAGGAGGAAACAGGGCAAAATATTCAGCTAAAAGAGCAGGTGTCTTTGATGTAGGAGCTATTCTTTTCCTTAAACACAATCTGAAGAAGTATTGTCTGTACACACTGTACAGATTTTGCATTCTTTCTGCATCGTCTCCCACAAATTATTTCACTATGTTGTAACTTTCTTCCATTCATCTTGAACCCTCTAAGGCCCACATTGGTTGTGAAGGTGAAAATGTTTCCCCCCCCTTTATTGTGTACACACAAACTTCCTAATTAGGATGGCAACTTTTGTTCAGAACTGTACTTACTGTCTCACCCTCACCTTACAAAGTTAAGGGGAGGGTGGTTTCTCCAGATTCTCGTTTTAAGCTGTTTTTTACATTTGTCAGGACAGCTCATTTGGAAATTGTATCATTTTCCTCCTAAATGTATGTTTAGTATGATGTCTGAATTCCTAATGATTTGTAAATCTAAATTGGTTTCCATTTATGGTTTATTTAAATTTTTGAAAAATCATTATGACACTATTTTGGTTCTTGTAAATGGGCAGGTACCGCATAGCAGGACTGATGGCTTAAAGCAGAGAGAACAGCTGTCAGACGATATTATTATTTATGATATCACTGATGATATTGGTGATGAAGAAAAGCCTCCAGTTACTCCAGAAAGCAGTGAAGATGCTGCTTCAGACTCAAAGTAAGAAAAAATATTTGGAATTAAATATCCTCAGGCACACTGACCTACAGAAATTATGTCCATATCTTACTTGATAGTTTGACCCTCTAGGTCTTGTGTAGATCCCAAGATACCTGTGTAATCAAAAGATAAGATGCAAGATATCCAATAGGTTAGTCTATAAATTTTAACATTAAATCAAAATTGTTCTGAAAGGTAACTGATGAAAGGTGTAGGTTTAAGGGAGCCATCCTAAAGCCTATGGACCGCCTCTCCTGGTATGCCCTGCGGAGGACCTTATGGTCCACAAACAATAACACTTTGGAGGTCCTGGGCCTCAAGGACGTTAGGCTGGCCTCGACCAGGGCCAGGGTCTTTTCGGCCCTGGCCTGGTGGAATGCTCTGTCGCAAGAGACCTGCAGTATTTGACATCTTTCCGCAGGGCCTGCAAGACGGAGCTGTTCCAACAGGACTATGGTCGGGGCCCAGTCTGACCCCCCCACAAACACACAAACTTTTTTTATTTTAAGACCCAGTATATAAGTGGCCGCCCTAAGCCTTTCCACCGACTCATATAAGACCAGCACAGTTGGGCCTGGTGAGCAATCAGTGTTCCCATCCCCTATATGTATTTTAATCAATTGTTTGATTTATGTTTTTAATGTATTATACTTTGATGTTAGCTGCCCTGAGCCTGGTCCTGGCCGGGGAGGGCAGGGTATAAATAAATATTATTATTATTATTATTATTATTATTATTATTATTATTATCATTGGAAGTGGAGTGAGTGTAACTTTGCTGTGGGGTGTCATATAACACCTGCTAGAGTCTCCCTGATGTACACTCACAAAAAGCTCCACAGGCATATACTCCCAGCAGTATAGGACAAAATGGGGTATGTTGGAGCAGATTTCTGGGGGCAGGATTAAAAAAAAAGAGTATTAAAATATGCTACCACCTGCCATCCTAGCCACATTTGAGTTGGAAGAGCTTACCTCTCTTCTCTTTCCCTGCACCCCAACAAACAGGTACTTCCCACTTCTACCCTTCCTCCGAAAAAAAGAAACGTACTGGTATTCTCAGTATTTGAGCATTTAAGGAAGTGCAAAACAATAGCATTATGTAGCTCATAACAAGGGCAGCAGTTTAATAGCTGTTCTCTACATTAACATGAGCTGCAAAGGAAATGTGGTGGATGTTGCTTCTCTTGAATCACATTTTATATATGTATTGCAGTTACAGTCCTGACATTGTAATAGTCGAAGATGACAATGAGGATGACTGTGCTCCTATAATCCATGAAAATACAACTGCTGAACCAGCCACAATTCCATCCAGTGATTCTGTCAGTCCTTCCCCTTATGGTGCAAGCCCATTAATGTCTGGTGCTGTTCAGTTAAACAGCCAGTCAACCTTAACAGCAGAAGACCCAGTCTCAATGATGGATTCAATACTCAGTGAGAATGGAGTGATTTCACAAAATATCAATCTTCTTGGAAAGTGAGTCACATTCTTTAAATCATCTTTAAAGTTCACACTTGTTCTCTCTTTTTTTTAAGAGCTTAAAGAAGAGCTACATGAATATTTAAATTTGCACTAGTTTTCTGATTTGTTGCTTTCTGAAAATGGCATAGTGGATGAGATTCAAATGTTTCCCAATTCTAAGTGCTGGTGCTGACCCATTTAAAGCCTTACACAGCTCAGGACCTCAATACCTTAAGGACCACCTCTCCCCATACAAACTAACCCGGACCCTGCGCTTGTTATCCAAGGCCCTTCTCTATGTCTCCCTTCCCCAAGATGTTCAGAGAGTAGCAACGCAAGAATAGGCCTTTTCAGTGGTGGTTCCCCGTCTGTGGAATGCCGCCGCCAGAAATGCTAGCCTGGTGCCATCATTACATGTCTTTAGGCACCAAGCAAAAACATACCTCTTTACCTTTGGGTATTAAATAATCTGTGGCCTGTTAAGGAGAGGGAGACTGTTATCGTACTATTATATATTTTTATATGCTCGGCCAGTAAAGCGAGATGAGCGCCACAACCCCAGTCTCGTTCGTGACTGGACTTAACTGTCAGGGGTCCCTTTACCTTTAAAATATGTTTTTAATGTTGTACACTGCCCTGGGATCTTTTGAATAAAGGGTGGTATATAAATCAAATTAATATTTCTTCAGTATTCCTCAGTTTTGGATTCAGTAGTAAAGGTACAGATAGCTTTTAGAGTAGATGCTCATTTCCTTTTTTAATACTGAATAATGTCATGCTTAGTGTTTACTGAAAGACTAGTGGTCTTCTGTAGAATCAATGCATGCTTGATCCACTATATACCCCCATGGTATATAGTGGATCACTTTCAGATACCTAGAATTATACTCATGCCTGTTGAATTCCAGATAATCCTAGTGGTTGTCCTCTTTACCTTCATTTTTCTTCTGCACTTTGATTCATTTGTACAATATATTTCTCAGAAAAGCTAGAATTTCATGGAGTTTTCTTGCACTCCTTTAGGGTGGAACTTCTGGATTATCTTGAGAGCATTGATTGCAGTTTAGAGGATTTCCAGGCCATGTTGTCAGGACGACAGTTCAGCATAGATCCAGATCTCCTGGTTGATGTAAATATTTACACTATATATTTTTTTTTTACTTCTATTTTCCTCGCAAATTTGGCTTTACAAAGATTTTGTGTAAGAAAAATACATTTGCATTTTTTAAATGTTATACCTTAAAAGGTCTATATTAACAACAGCTTGAGACTGCAGTTTCAGAGAGCAGCAGAATAGTAGTTTGTGCTTGAGGGTTTGTGCAGAACATTTCTATTTGTGGCTATTTCAGGCACAAAAGATTAGTTTGGTTTATAAGTCACCCAATTTATATCTAGAATATAGAATTTTAAAACTTGGTGTACATTTTGTCTTGTCCAGCTTTTTTCAAGTTCCGTGCAGATGAATCCTACAGGTCATATCAATAGTACAAAAGTAAGTTTTAAAGTAGCACAGCAGTGGGAAATATGGTGTAATGTCAATGGCCAGTTGTCTAATCCAGTTGCATAGCATGTTAATATTTGTTTTAACATTTTGTGTACCTTAACAAGGCTGATATTGACACATTATTTAAAGATGCAGCTGTTTTCCTTTTTGTGCTTTCCAGATTTTTTTTCTGCATTTTGAAAAATTACACATGTGCATCTTAAGTTTTCAAGTTCTATATTGGGGGGCATCACATGCTGGCCAGAACATCAGTTTAACACATCAGTATTTTTAAAAGTTATTATCAAAGTAGATGTAGCATTCAAAAGAGGGTGAAAAGCACAGGCTAAGAACTGGTTTTGAAATGGGAGATTTGCATCATTTTGAAATGTATTCTCCTTATTTTAGACATGCTTTCTAGAGTAAAATTTGAATGTGATTGGGTGGATATACCCATGGTGACAGTCTAGATTTCTAACATTCCTGTGTCCCAGCTGCTAGATAAGTTCCTGAACATTTGCTTGTAGCAGTTATCTTCTAGACAAATGTTTTCTCTGTTCCTTAAAAAAATTAGTATGAAGTCATCTGATTTTTGTAACCATGCTTGCTTTTAAGGTGGAGACAAAGGGAATTGAAACAATGAAGACTAATAGTGCTCAACCATCTACACAAGATGTGCCTAATTCTGACCCCAAATCAGGTTGATATGCAAGTTCTCTTAGCTTCAGAAATGTAGATTGGGTATAATTTAACCTGCATTCATAAATACCCTTATTTTAGACATGAAATGAATAAAATAGTTAACATATACCCAGTATGCTTGGAAAGCGAGTTGTAGTTGTGCTGTACATTGACAAGTTTCTCTTCATTTTTTAGCCTTTTCTGTAGGAATATAGAGCAGTTGAGTAATTACTTTGGTTTGGTTTGTTTCTTGCCCTGCAGATAAACAGCTCATTCAATATACTGCCTTTCCCCTACTTGCATTCCTTGATGGAAATCCAGGCTCAGTGGAGAATGCAAATATGACACCTGAATCAGTATCTTCTGTGGATAAACCAATAGAAGTGGATGAACTCCTGGAAAGTGGTCTGGATCCTCAACCAACCCAAAGCAAACTGGTTCGTCTGGAGCCACTGACAGAAGCAGAAGCTAGTGAAGCTACACTATTCTATTTGTGTGAACTTGCTCCTGTGCCAATGGACACTGATATGCCACTGCTGAACAACTAAAACGAGAGAGTTAAAGCAAACTATTTATTGAGGCTATTGTTTGGGATCTATCTTTTGTAAATGGCATTTTGTGAGCAGCTACTGTGGAACCTTAAACAGTTTGTTCTATCACTTTCCCCAAAACTCGGGTCTCAAAAGAGCAGTTTAAACATTTATACAAACCATCAACAGTTCACAATGAGTTCATTCTAGTGCTGTCATATTTGGAATTATGTATTCAGAATATGCCAGGTAATTGGATGCTCTGTATTAGCCACTCGCAGTTTTTCTTGTTCACTTTTAGTCCTAATGTATGACATACACAATAAGTAACTCTGGATGGAGGTCGTAGCACTCAGAGTTTAATTCTTCTGTACTTTGTTTTCTATTTTTACAACTTTGTTTAAATAAAACTGTTAGGGGACCAGAACTGAATATAGTGCTTCATTGAATTGACAAGTGTCCATCTTAATTTCATAGTCGTAAGAGTATCCACTACTTGCTTCACCCCATAGGCACAAATGCTGTTGAATGGGTTGGGGGTTTTCTGTGAATGTGTTCTTTGTTAAAGGGGATTTTCAGTAGCAGGCTAGAGGAAGTATATTCAGTACTATGAAAATGTATGGCCTATAGCCACATTGGATAAAAAATCAAAACAAGACTCGGAAGACCTAAACAGCCATTTTTTCTGAATGTTTACTAAGTTATAGCATACACACAAAATGACTAAATATTAAAGCTACCTTGAAATTGCATTCATGTTGAGCCTAAGTCAGCCATTAAATATATCTAAGTATTTTTTTATAGAAATTCACCACTGATACTCAGTAATGCACAACAGTGCTGCTACAGCTGAAACTGTTCTCTGTCAGCTATGCAATCCTTAAGGAAAAGCAAACCAGAACTGTACCTTCCTATTCAAGCAGCAAAGCACAGTATTTGAAGATTTCCAACAAACAAACTATGCAAAACACCTAATAGTTTCTGTGTTATGTAGACTTAGGATTTTCCAGGTACAAATCCACTGCCGGCAATGGACACACAAAAGATAATACCTTTGACACAAGAATCAATGACATCTGTGAAGAGATCAGCTATTAAAATGCAAGTGTGCTTTAACTAAAAATGAATATTGGTATATATCAATTTATCCAGGAAAGTATTTTTAGAAAGATACAGAACTTGATTTACAAACTAAGCTCAATTATACCCACACAAGGAACAGATGGAGCCAGGATAGTTTTTTTTAAAGTAACTTTTAAAAAAGCTATAAAAATAAACAGCGGTACCTGAAGTCTACCTCATCAGCGTGAAATATACTATACTACAGCTACCAGCAGTGGGGGGACAGCAATCCATTTCACTCCTTAATTTCAATTTAATGAGTGCTAGCCCTAAATACCTTCCAAGTATTGATTAGGTTTTTTTAAAAAAGACCATCTTGGTATCAAATGGTTACAAAAATGAAAAGCCCATAGCATGCATTAATACTTCACTGCACTTCACTTTAAAAAACAAATCTGGTCAAAATGGCAACTATTTTTGATACCCCATGCACATTTTGAATAATTTCAAGTACAACCTTAAACATTTACTCCTGTTCACATTCTTTAAAGAAGCCTTGTACTTATTCAAACCTGCAAGTACAAAAACCAGTCCTACAGAATTGTAACAGCTGTTTTCTTATATGCTCACACCAGCCCTAGTGACAGCTGGGGCTCTTTATCGTTTAAAGTGTGGAAGGGGGAAACCCTCCACAAATTGATTAAAATGGCAACTGAATCACAGGTACAATCTTTCCCTTCCTACTAACCCCACTCTTTGCTCTGCTCTATCATCAGCTAAGGCTCATTAGAGTTGACATTCCTGTGCTCCTGTTCATCTGATGTTTGTTCAACAAACAAAAGATCATACCTCCTGCAGATCAGCTATGATCTAAAGGTAACCTAGACTTAACACACACCTGATATGTGATTCTCATTCAGCATCAGACTCTCCTAGACAACCATCCATCCATGCTTCAGCTGAGGTAATACAGTATCCTCCAAAGGCTTACAACCATTACTGTCTCTCCTATCTGTCATAGCCATATTTTTCTCATCTTTTCTGGGCAAATCTCACAGTTGTGAAAGATTATACTTCCTTGCTAGACCAAAGTTGATATTTTACTAACTAGAAAACTGCTGTGTAACAATTATTAAATTGCAATAAAGGCCAGTAAGATTGTCATAGATAGCCCTAGCTTCTAACACTCTTCATGGTTCCCCATCTGATTATAACTTCAAATATCTGACTTTCAACCTCGGCCTATCTACATGCCCCGAAAAATACTGTTTTAATGCACCTTTGACTGTACATGATTTGGGAATTCTTCAGTAAGCAGTAGGGCTGAGCCAAATATTTGTGGGGTTTGAAACACATGGAACTGTTGTTCTCACATCTAGTTTGACCCTAAATCCCTCTCCAGGTACTAGTTAGGGGAAAGAAAATATACAGAAGGGAGCAGTGGGAAAGATCACACTAGCTCTGCCCAACATTGCCTTTTTCATCACTTTCCAACTGGTGATATTGTGAAGCAGAGAGATGTTTGTATCTGTGGAGGCTCCCAAATGGAAAACCAAGGTTCTCACCCACAGAAGCAGGGAGTCTCCATGGATGCAAAAGTCTCTCTCTGCTTCACACGGTCACCATTTACAAACTGTAAAAGTGATGAAAATAGCAGGGTGTTGGTGGTGGTAGAATCTTCATCCCTACTCTACCCACCATATGTGTTTACTTTCCCCCAACATTGGAAGAGGGCTCAGTATTAATCATTAATATGTACTATTATCATCATCAAGCTCAACTAGAAAACAGTCACTGAAATAGCAAGTGAACATGATTTAAAAGTATAACCATGCAGAAGACATGATAAACTATTCAGACAATACATACACGTATTATTTACAAATTGCATCGCGATGTTGAATACTGTTAGCTTCAAATTAGCAACAAAATAAAGCAAGAGCTTTCAGATGAGACACTTGGCTTAGTCAAATTCACGGTTTGTTAGAACAAGTGGAGCCACCAGAGTCCACACGTAGAGGACTATGCCAATCCAGCTGGAAGAGATCTTCACCCAGACAGATGGCCACTTACTGGTCATTGATGCAGAGGCAGGGTCAGGGCTGAGAAAGAGGAGAGATAAAGTGTTAGCCGACTCATTTGTGGAACAGAATAACTACTTTTCTCTTGATCATCGCTTATGTTCTTAAAATTGAAAAAATTATGTAAGAATAAAATTCACTGCCACCGATCTGATAAGTGGGAGAGGAGATAATGAATCCAACATTTGCCTCTCTGCCCACTTCCACCCCTACAGGTGATCAGCACTGATAATGTCAATGAAATGTAGTCCTGCAAGATCCACATACCTGTACCAGTTGGTTAGGGTCATCATGATGTAAAGCGAAGCAAGAAAAAGCATGAAGTGAAAGAATGAATAACTGTAAGTAACTCCATCTCTCTCATTATCAACAGCACGGTGCAAATCATCTCCTTCATCAAGAGAGCCTTCACTCCTGGGAAGTCCATCTTCTATCAGTGTTGACTCATCACTGGTTAATGTCAGTTTATTTACCTGACTATTATTGGATGTCCGAATGCTGCAGTTAAAAAGTAGTTAGTGTCACTAGATGTCCTTTTTTTAAAAAAATAACTGAAAATTGGAAAAGGTTTTCCAAAAGTTCTGCTCACCTTGAGTACAGAACACACATTAAGAACAGGATGAGGCCTACAATTCCTTGGGCATCCCACCAATGGACAAACTGACCCTTACTTGGAGTGCTTGTGGAATTATAGCCAATTATGTTCAGCAAGCTTGGATTGCATTGTCTGTCTAGATCAGTAAAGACACAAAAAACTGAAAGTCGGATTATTTTACACAAAACAATTATTTCTCACAGAAGCAATGTCCAACATAGTATTATCCACTAGGTGCTAGCCTTTTACACTGCTCGAAACTGTTTTTGAGCTGTTTGTTGTGTAGCTTTCCAACTGCAATGAAATACAGCTATGGCCTTTCCATACAAAGGATATGGGATTAACAGTGCTTTCTTTGAGCACTGTACTAGCAACATCCCCATGCAATAGAAGGACACTGGCTAGTCTTGCTACTGTGTGGTGAGAGAGCAAGTGTTCAGAACAGTGTTAGAAACTGATATATGAAAGCTAGGAGATAAATGGCACCTTAAACCTAGGTCATGGGCACTGCAACGGAGTGTCTAGGTGCACTTTTTTTAATAACAAGAATACAAAGCTGAAAATGAATGAACCGCCCGCCCTACAAGAAGTCTTTTGTATACCAAAACTGCAATCCTAATCATGCTGACTTGGGAGTAAGCTTCACTCACTCCAAGAATCATTTAGATAACCACAGATTCTCTAACAATCAATTTATAGCATTCTACCTTGCACTCTGAAATACTTTTTGTTTAACAGTTTTTTGTCCCTTCAAAGCTTCAAAACATTCAAAAGTTTTAAATCATCCAAAGTAGGTGTGACAGCAATAAACAACGGAGTTCTGCCAGAGTCACTTCTGGATCATAACAATAACAACAACAACATGAAATCTCCTTACCTGGCTCATTGGTCATTGCAGCCCAGGTTAGATACATTGTATAAACGGTGATCACAGATGATTGTAACAACCCAGATCTCGGTTGTGATTCCTATATGCAGACAGAAAGCAAAACAATACAGATAACTGCATATTGTGCTGATTTTTCTTATGTGATCACAACTCAGCACAGGGAGGGAGAGTAGGAAATGAATGAATGGAGAGCAGAGGAAACCAACTCTCCATTTACTTATCCCCCCCACTCCCCTGCGCAAAGCTGTAATTACAGGCTTACCAGACTTCGGGAAGGTGGTGTGACGGCTCTGGCAATGTCCCAGAGCCCTTGTGCCTCCTTCCCAAAGTTGGGTAAGCAGTCCTTCACCTTGTGAGGTGCTGGGAGCAGTTCCAGGGTTTCCTGGATTTATATGCTTTTGCATGTATGCAGAGACTACCACCCCCCCCCCCGAACCAAATGCTTGCATAAGATGTGAATTAACTATATGTAGAAATTTGACAAACGGCTGATGTATTAGCCAGATTCTTATGAAAACAAATATCCACTTAATGTAACCTCATACCTGGATTTTAGGCAGAATTGACATTACAGATGCTCCAATGCACAGCAGCATATTGACACTGATAAATGCCTTATTTTCAGAACAGCCATCGGGCAGAGTATAATAGACATAAAATAGGACAATTGCCACCAGAGACAGAAGATAGTTTAATGCTGTGGCAGACAGCAAAGCTGTGAAGAAGCAAACAAAACTGGATTCAGGTTTTATTAGTACTTTTGAAGGAGGCTCACTAGAGCAGTGATGAAAAATAAATCCTACACTGTTGGATAAGAAAAGTGATCTGCTGGATTAACTTCAGTAGGCAGACTAAACTACTATTGCCTCTAGAAGATCTGGAAAAACTGAATCAATCCTCAGTAATTATAGTTGTTACTACAGCTGCATCAAGTCAGGCACAACTTTCTCCTCTTCTGACCCCATGTAATCAATATCATTATTATGCTTCTGGAAACACCAATTCCCTCTTAACCATGGTATGTTGGGGATGGGAGGGATTCAGACTCTCAGTTCCGCACATGCACAAAAACACACCCTTCCTTGGTCAGCAACTAGCGAGTGAAGAGCAACATCAAAGAGTTCTCAGGTCATGACTCCTACAACTGAAATTTGAGCACAGCATGTCCCAATTTTAATAAACAAACCCTGTGATGCTGACCAACAAACCACTACATACCTGCATACCAGCATCTTGAGTTTCCTTCTTCCATCTTTTCGACCCAAGATTCATTCCAAGAGTGGGCAAAATCAATAAGTAAAACCAGCTGGATAAGAATGAAGCAGAAAGCACCAGCCATGCCTACATAAAACCACACTAGGAAGAAAAATAATTAATATATTAATTTTCATAAATAATTTTTCTGTTTGAATTGTTAGCATGTATTGAGTGATTCAGAGTCATCAGGGTAAAATTTACTCGTAAAATAAACTCTTAAAGAGTTTGACAATTAAAAAATAAACAAGGCTATGTCCCCAGGTAGCTTATAATCTAAAACCAACAGTGAGGAAAGCACAAGGATTTAAGAGATAAATATGAGTCTGTGACTACACACATATAAAACTAGATTCTTTGGGAATGAGAATTAAGGGATTATGCTGAAGTAAGGAACCTCCAGCCTGCAGGCCAGATTTAGCTCAATTTGGCCCACAAAACTGTTTTCCCTAAACCATGGTCACCTGACATCATATAGGATATCAGGTATGAGGCAGGTACAGACAGCACTGGATTAGCTGTGTAACTGAGCTCAGCATGGGGAACTCAATTGGACAGCTGATTGCTGAGGAATGCAGATTTGCCAGTCCTAAACTGGCAATACCCCTTGTGCTATGGTTTCCAAATGCCCGGCAATCAGCTGGCTGTTGGGCACTTGAGAATCGCTGCTCAAGGGACACTGACAGGTAGTTGGGACCACCCATCTGTCAAAAGTTGGCAAACTGAGGTAGGGACTGATCTGACCTGTCAGGCCAGAAAGGTTATGCCAAAGACCTACGCATCTTCTCCAGTGTGACAAATCAGAACATTAAGATCTGTTAAATAAGAACTCAGTATCACATTGAAAGCTATTGGAAACAGTTTCTGTGCAAAATATACATGACTTTCAACGCAATCATACCTGTTGTAAAGGGTCCTTCTGGAATAAAAAATGCTCCAACTGTAATTGCAACAGCTGTGATGAATTTAAAGAACCAGAATCTGAAATATCACCAAAGAACCATCAAAGTTAGGGTATCAGCAGTATTTTTAAAATTTGTACTTTACATAATATACTGTATTAATATTACATATGATCTCTTCACTGACCTGAAGCAACAGCCTTCAGGTTTTGTTATTTATATACCTTGTGCAGGAAACACAAGACTACAATTTATCTCTCTCTCTCTCTATCTATCTATCTATATATATGAATAAATTTATATACCACCCTATACCCAGAGGTCTCAGGGCGGTTCACAGAATAAAACCAAAATATAAAACCAAAATACATAATCAAAATAAAAACAACAATCCAATAACCACCACCACTACCCCCAAAAAAACCCCCACATTTCAAAAGGACATAGGATGTCAATCAAAGCAACCAAAGGCCTGGTTAAAAAGGAACATTTTTGCCTGGAGCCTAAAGGTGTATAATGAAGGCACCAGGTGAACTTCTCTGGGGAGAGCATTCCACAGATGGGGAGCCGCTGCAGAGAAGGCCCTTTCTCGTGTTGCCATCCTCCAGACTTCTCAAGGAGGCACACAAAGGAGGGCCTCAGAAGATGATAGGTTCATATGAAAAGAGACAGTCCTTGAGGTATTGCGGTCCTGAGCCGGTTAAGGCATTATAGGTCAAAACTCGGAAACTACCGTATTTTTCCGTGTGTAACACGCCCCCATGTATAAGATGACCCTTTTTTTGGACCGCAACAAAAGGGGGGGGGGGATTGACCAAAGTTGTTGTGTTTGGGGGGGGGAGGGAGATTGCCCACAGTTGCTGAGCTTTTGGGGGGGGGTCAGCACTGCCAATCGCTCTACAGCCTGCGCGCCAATCAAAATTGTACACATTGCTGCAGCAAACAATCGTATGCACACACACCGCCAAAAGCCCACCTGCACACTCAGCACAACAACAGAAGATTGCACACACACCTCGATGATGCCGAAAATAGCACGCACCATTGCCAAAGCTGCAAACAATCGTCAGCAGGCCTTGCCACAGCAACCTATCACATGCCCAATCGCCGCTGCAAATTTCATGCTGTCTGATGACAACAAATGCCCATCCCCCCTCTGCTATCCGTGTATAAGACGACCTGCTATTTTTGCATATTATTTCATAGGAAAAAATATTGTCTTAAACACAGAAAAATATGGTAATCAGTAGCCAGTGCAGTTGGACCAGGATCATCGTAATATTCTCAAACCATCTTGCATGAGCAACCTGGCCAATGAATTCTGCACCAGCTGAAGCTTCCAAACCGTCTTCAGAGGCAGTCCTATGTATAATGCATTGCAGTAATCTAACCTTGAGGTTACAAGAGCATAGACAACAATATTTAGGCTATCCCTGTCCAGATAGAGGCATAGCTGGGCCATCATTTCTTCTTACCCATTATGTATTGCTGCCCTTGGATCACTGCTGCTCTTCACTTTGATCATCATTAAGGAGAACAGGAGAAAGAACATGGCCATACCAAAGCACACCCGATATACTGCTTTATAGCCTACTAGAACATCACAATTCACTTGGCCATCACAAAATCCAGGAATCTGTAATGAACAACATAATATATATTAACATATGTCAATGAAGAACCCAAACTTTTTGTTTTGTTAGGAGCCGACTATGACAGGATTAATTTAACATCTCTTCATTACTTGAAATTTGTACAGGTCTAAGGTTCTCACAAGCCAATGTTAAACTGAAGATTTAAATACATAATATATATATTTAAATACATAAAATATAGTCCCCTGGTGTTTTCAAAAGCCACATACATACATGTATGTATGTATACTCCTGGTCTGAAATAATAGCTAACTAATACAGGAAGAAGGCAAGGTTTTACAGACAACCATTATGCTAAATGTTAAAATACTTCAATGAAAGGCAGTCATAATGAGAGAACTGCTCCATAGTTAGGCCTTAGCCTATGTAAACAAAACACTAAATAACATTCTAGAATAAAAGGAGGTGCGGATACGAAGCAATGCTTCTAAAACGTAAGAAAATACAGGTCAATCCCAAACTACCGTAGCAGTGCCACAATAATTCTACCATAGTTGTCTCAAGAGTAAACTGACCTTCTTCAGCTGTTCTTCCATTCCTGGAATTAACATCACACATGCAACACCCACTCCAAGGAGCAAGAACAGAGCATATATCACCCTTGTTATAGTGGAGTTATTTCCACTGGGGCAGCACCGGCACAGCAGACATGGGGCACTGCCACACAAACATGGTATCTGATGAAAGAAAGGGAGGAGTATGAGGACAAAATAAAAAGTTATGCTCAGTTAATTACGTGGTTAAAATGTTTAACTACTGGTTCTGATGTCATAATATTTAAGGATCACACTCCTACTAATGTAATAGTTGTAATCTCATATTCTGTATTACGTTTTCCGGTATACCCATTACTGCAAAGGCCATGGCTTTGATAGTAAAATGTGTGCAGATATGAGCAGTAGGTCATTGGGCTCTTGATTCAGTGCTATAACACTAATAGAAGCATGAACAAGTCCTGCAAAAAAGCAAAGGTGATGTTGCAATGCTGCTTCTCAGATGGCTCTGTGATTGCCCCATGTACAGCCAAGACAGTCAACAGACTGTTTACAAAAGTTATTAGTTATGCTTACCAGGGCAAATAGTGATGTATACCATAGCCAAGAAAAAGTATATGACTTACAGGTTAGTGGAGATTTGTTTTTACTTTATGCCTGAATCAAAGATATATACTGAATTACACACTTTACTTCAATATCCTCAGAGGTGTAGGGAAAAATATAGGACAAGCTCTTACTCTAACTTCCAGCACATTAGGAGGAATGCACAACAGTTAAATCAGCAAAAGTTTAAGCAACATTCTATCAAGTTGCCCAGTCTGACCATTGTAACTTTCCACTCTGCCTTTATTATTCCATAGCAGGAATTTATCCCAGGGAACAGGAAAAAAATCCACAAATTTCAGTCTAACAAAACAATATTATGAATTTCTACTACGGCTCAAGATATTGTGTTGTTTTTCCTCAAAAAGTCCACATTTTCTCTAGACTGATTTGATTCTCTCTTACACACCTACAGATGATCCTACTTTAATGCAGGGTTTGTCAAAAGGAGGTAGAAGCCACACTTTCACTCATAATTTTCAGTTCGGTAATCCCACATATACTCCTAGCATGGTGACTTAGCATACACTGCGGTATAAGATGGTACAAACATTTGCCAGATGCCTTGGAACAATAAACGACCCTGTAAAATTAGAGATGACGAAACCCCACCACACACACAAACACCTTTCACATTGCAACTTCAGAACCCCTTTATAGAGACATTCTTAAAAATGGCCTTAGGAAGCTATCCACAGAGGAGGAAAGCATGAGGACTGGATAGAAGATGATGCTGGGGGGTGGGGGAGCAACTACCTAGATAGCAAACTGCCCTCCAGGAAACAAGCGAGGAACTGTCAAATTTCAAAGGGCCAGTGTTTAAAGAGGCAACATCACCAACCCAGTGCCGGATTTACGTATAAACAATCCATAGCTTAGGGCCCCACTCTCTTGGGGGGGCCCAAAAAATTAAAGGAAAAAACACACCAGATGTAGATTTCCAAAATATAAGATAAAAAAAACAAAACTAAAATAAAACCTACATACAGCAACAGTGTTTTGTGTTGTGTAGGCTCCTATGATGTAAGTAATGGGTCCCGCCTGCTAGCCTGCTCCCTAAAATATCACATATAAAGGGCCCCATTACCTTCAGTAGCTTAGGGCCTCCTCAAACCTAAATCCGGCCCTGCACCAACCCATTGCTTTCCATTACTAAGGGTTTTTAATTTGGGGTGCATTGTCATTTTGCCATAGCACCTGCAAGGCGCAGACAACAGGGTCGAGACGTTAACGCGCCTCCTCCATCAGTTCTAGGGCGTTGGCAAACGAAATCTTATTATATATGATTTAAACAAAGGGGACGCATCACGGCCAGGGAGGGGCCGCCTCGCCGCAGAGAAAGGACAGCGCGCTGAGATGCATGGGGGGGGGGGCGCAGTCAGAGAGCCCCCTCACTGCGCCTGCGCCTCTGGAACTGCTGCTGCTGCTGAATAGCCGCCCCCGCCCCCGTGACTCCCTAACCCAGCGAAGTGGGGCCCCGAAGGAGGAGGCCGCGGTTCCGGCCACATTACCCAGCTCGCCATGGAGCAGAGGCCCAAGACAGCCCCCATCTTCTTCTTCCTCCTCTTCTTCTTCTTCTCCTCGCGGCGGTTGAGTTGCGCGGCAGCCCTTTAAAGATGGAGCCAGCGGCAGCACCGAGCGGCGAGGGCTTGTTTACTCTCCAGCCTGCTTCGCTCACTAACCACGAGCTTTGACAGGCAGCGGCGCGTCACTTCCGGGCTGAAGGAGGAAGAGCCGCCACTGGCCACCTCCCCCCTCAGTGCGCAAGATTTAGTAGGGTAGAGTCGCACAGGCTTCTGACTTCTGGGTTACCTTAAAAGTATTTTATGTTATGCTGTTTGGTTTGGTTTGGTTTGGTTTGGTTTTTGCGGCAAAACAGTACGGGGAAAATCCAGGGTTTAAACGTAGGTGTGACTGGGCAGCAATGTTTCCTGTCCCCATTCGCTAATTGTAGCTTTAATGTATTGTTAATCTTTTGTTAGAAGCCGCCCAGAGTGGCTGGGGAGACCCAGCCAGATGGGCGGGGTATAAATAATAAATTATTATTTTTATTTTATTTTAAAACCTAACCTCAACAGAGGGACGTGGGTGGCGCTGTGGGTTAAACCACAGAGCCTAGGACTTGCCGATCAGAAGGTCGGCGGTTCGAATCCCCGCGACGGGGTGAGCTCCCGCTGCTCGGTCCCAGTTCCTGCCCACCTAGCAGTTCGAAAGAACGTCAAAGTGCAAGTAGATAAATAGGTACCGCTCTGGCGGGAAGGTAAACAGCATTTCCATGCGCTGCTCTGGTTCACCAGAAGTGGCTTAGTCATGCTGGCCACATGACTCGGAAGCTGTACGCTGGCTCCCTCGGCCAATAAAGTGAGATGAGCGCCGCAACCTCAGAGTCGGCCACGACTGGACCTAATGGTCAGGGGTCCCTTTACCTTTTAACCTCAATAGACAGAATCCAGCTCCTCCATCTCAGAAACAATCATGCAGCATGTGGTTATGATAGCTGGAGGGCTGTCCAAATTATTGCAGTTTTGAAAGTTTGAGTCCACTATTTTGGTGGTATCTAAAGATAAACCAGAATCTGCACCTTGACCTTAGGAACCATCATGCCAGTTTTGGCTACCATATCTTAAGCAGTGTCCAGTTCAATGCAGTTTTCTAAAGGTTCAGTTCATCATTTTGTTTCAACATTGCAACCAGGAATATACAAGGAATATACCAGGAATATATTACCTCAGGAATGACAAAATTGGTTAAGATCTCTCAGGAGGTGTCCCAATGTGTATGAACAAATAATCAAAATATATGATGGAGAACCTGTGCTGTATTTATGGTGTTCTGTTATTTTCCCGCTATTGTTTATTGTTTGCAGGCCACTTGTGGCATTTATCTAAAAACTCTTGCATGTGTAGTACATGATAATAATAATAATTTATTTATACCCCACCCATCTGGCTGAGTTTCCCCAGCCACTCTGGGCAGCTCCCAATCGAGTGTTAAAAACAATACAGCATTAAATATTTAAAACTTCCCTAAACAGGGTTGCCTTCAGGTGTCTTTTAAAAATAGTAAGGATAGCTGCTTATTTCCTTGACACCTGATGGGAGGGTGTTCCACAGGGCGGGCGCCACTACCGAGAAGGCCCTCTGTCTGGTTCTCTGTAACCTCACTTCTCGCAATGAGGGAACCGCCAGAAGGCCCTCCTTCGGGTATACAAATGCATTCTAGTGGCATTAAGCAAAACATTTGTAAGTCCATGTCACCTGACATGAATACAGGAGCGGGGAACACATTTCTTGGAGAAAATTGTAATGTTTTTCATGCCTCTCAGCTTTCCCTGAAAATGTTTCCCGCCTTCCCTGCTACTTCCTCCACTGAATTTATTTCTAGAGGCCAACTGAGAAAGATGACACCCTAGCTGTGGATGGGGAGGGGGGGATCAATAGCTATGGAAATGATAACCCCCTGATTCTTCATCTCCCTTCATGCCATTATGAGGCAACTGCAGGGCTGAAAACCATTGTCCCCTCAAAACGTGTATTTCTGCCCTTACTCCTAGAGGTCAGTCTAAGCCAAGAAATGGATGAGCCCTTTAATGATGACCAGCTCCTAAAATGTACACCCTCCCTAGGCTAAAGCAGATTGTGTTTTTCCCACTCAGGGATGTCAATTTGAAAAGTGTCATCTAACTAGCATTACCACCATTACCCAGAATGTATTTGTGTACTGAATATCTCCCTAGATGGCATTTATTTATATATAAGCTGCACGTACAGCAGCATCAGTACAGATGACGGCCGTTATTTTCAGCAGGGCAATCATTTCCATGACAACAACTGTCTGTGGCTTTCCAAAGGAAGAAATGGATTCTTAGGCTACAATCCACTACCCTTTCCTATTGAAGTCAATTAGACTTACTTGTGATGAGTCATGCAAAGGATTGTGCTGTCAGTAAACAAATGTTCCTTTTAAAATGCAAGTGAAGCCAGAAGTTCTTAGTTTAAACAAAATCAAACACTGTACGTTTAATTCTGACCTTGAAATACATACAATATACAGGGAGCAGCCTGTTTAAAGAAATAGCCTTGAGATGGGGTAAGAGCTTTCGGATTACTGTGCTAGAAAGTACATTCCATTGTTCTCTGAGTGCTGAACTGCTTGGAAGAACACACAGTTGTACAAAATGTAAAAGACTCAAATAAAACAGTGTCAAGTGTTCCTTTAGTAGCTGTGTCAGAGACTCCCAGCAATGTGTCACAAAAGAGCCCAGCATCCTACTGTGAAGTTATTGCAAGACTTAAAGCACAATCCTAATTTTGATTATCATTCCTAAAATAAAGACCCTTGTGTGATGTGTCTTGGGTTCCTTGACACTGTCTTTTCTCCTATTCCTTACTTGCCCTATGTGGGGAACGCTAATGTAAATGAGTTTCGCTGCTTACTATAACAAGGCCTGGACAAGGTCAGGGGAGGCCTGGGCTGTTGCTGGTGGTACTGCCACTACTAACAACTAGGGAACCATACTCCATCCTAGTGGTGGTGCTGCTGCTCCAGCCTCTCTCACACACCACCACTACATGTTTGCAAAATGTGCACAGTGGCAAGCCTTTCTTAACTATATTGGGCAGGGTTCAATCCTGATTGCAACCCGTCACCATAGAGGAAGGAAGGAACACTGAGATTTGGATGTAGCAAAAAGTCAAGCCTGCTTATTTTCTACAAACGAGTATGTTTCACCTCCCTAATCTTTTGCGACAATTCGTTCACCTGGAATTTTACCAATGACCAAATCAGGTGTGGTTGAGAACATTTAAGCTATAACGTAACACCTTAGACCGTTATATGGTTTGCCTTTACCCAAATGTATTATTCAAAATGCTTCTCGGGGAACATTAATTCATTTTGATAAGGGGCTGGACTGCTACTGAATGCTATCTTGGGAAATATATTTAAAAACCCAACATTGTCAATTGGGTGAAACAGTCTATAGGAATTTGCTACATTTACACTCTACCCAAATGTGTTGTGCCTTAAAGTGTGGGTGTATTTCTTTTGATGTTCAATATTTGTCAGTGGCTTAGTAGCCATTGTGCTAGATGGATACTTCTACTACTCATTTACCCCCAAGAAAGAATCCAGCAACTTTCCTGTGATTACACGTCCCAAGCGATACATTGTATCTTCTATACAAACAAAATCTTTATTTGACAAAGGCATGTAACCTAAAAATAGTCTGAGGAATCTGGGTATTTTTGGCCGTGGCTTAATAGGTCAAAGTGAAACCAAGACAGTTTAATTCTAAATGGCCTTGAAGCTTTGCTCCTGATATCAAAGCTGAGCTTATACACAGATATCAAGTCCAGATGGTACTTAAATTAATCTGGCTTCTGGATACTTTCCCTGCCTTACCATCTTAAAGTAAAAGTGTTTCCAAATTCTGTGCATGCCAGTTACTGTGACAACATGAGCAGCATTTGCACATTTCAAATTAAGCCAATAGGCAGGTCTTTTGGCTTCTGTAAACTTTTCCTGGCTCCAAAAGCTGTTTGCCATGATATATATATGCAGAGTAGAAGATAAAGGCCATTAGCTGATCAGATCTTTGCACTGTGACCATTATATTTTTTCTGTTTTTTTAAGGAAGCATGTTTATCTGATCTGTAGAAAATGCAACTTGAAAAAAGAGACAATGCATGTATTTTTGTAAACTAAGAAAAGAATTATATTTATATTTATATTTATATTTATATTTATATTTATAAAATGCATGTTTATTTAAATGCTGAAAACTGATTGTGGCGATCACACAGGGTCCCCGGACGTTTGACAGTCTATTGATCCCTGTGCCACCACTGTGATTGCTTCCCCGCTGCCACCAACCCGTTTCTCTCGGGTACACACGGAGTCCAGACAGTTGTTAACATTAAACCCAATAAACAAGTTTATTTTATAAGCGTTAACAAGTTTATGGTTTCAGATAATTTTTCTTGTCAGTTTCTTAATCTTAGTTTCTTTACCGGCCTAGACCATCCTAACAACTTCTAACTGATTATCCCAACTATCTGACTCCTCTTAACAGATTCTCTCACTCTCTCACGTAAAACTATCCCAACCCACAGACTTATCCTCCCACTCTCTTCTCTAACACCTGACTGACTCCTTAACAACAGAACTCTAACTTTAACTCCTCCCCTTGGATTCCCACTTGCCAATCACTTCACACTCATTTAACCCTTTCCTTATGACCCAGCATGATGTCACCTAGGAGGGCAAACGCCACAGTGATCAATTCCAGATTTCTCCTTAGAATATGAGAGTTTATTTACACAGAAAATTTATCTCCTACTTTTCCATTGTGTGATAACCTTTGAGGTCTTTTCCAGTTCTATGATCCCAAAGAAGGTTTACGATAGATTGAAATAACACACACAAACACATGTTCACTGAAACCTACACAGCCTGGCCGTCCTTATCCTCCTGACATGATGGATGTGCCACAGAGTGCTTCCTTTCAACTCCACTGTCTCAGGAAAACTGGCAGCTGGAGCTGGGTGCTCTTTCTGACAGGGTGGGGCAAGCAAACTCCCTGCAGCTCCTTCTCCTTTCTGGCTGATGGATGGGGCCAGGCTGGTCCTGCACTCACTGTGTTCTTCTTCCTGCAACCTCTCAGTGACACTTTGGCTCCAGGGTTTATTCTAATGTGCAGTTAGACACATTTTGTGCAGCA